TTTCTCAGTTCTAGAGATAAGCCTGTGCTCGCGTTTATTTGTTTTCTTTCCATTTGCTAGTCTGTGTTCAGGTGCTGAATATCTTTTACAAGTTGTACGAGGTGCAATCCCTCATGCGTATTTTGAGTCAAATTCGACTATTTCGACAGCTGAAATTGCTGTCCATGTTCTCGATTACCTTTACAAGAGGCTGGATGAAGTATGCCTTGTACAAGGTGGTGAGGTTGTGGCCGTTTTCATGAGTCTTTGTCCTTTTTTCTTTTCTGTTGGTTGCTGCCAAAATTGGATTAATGATGAATTTTTGAACCAGGTGGAAGGATTTCACATGCTGCTGCAAATCTTTGCTGGAAGTTTATTGCCATATGTGGAGGGTTTGGATTCATGGTTGTTTGAGGGAACACTTGATGATCCTTTTGAAGAGGTAATGGTTCTTGGAATTGTGTTTACGTGCCATGGGTGTTCAACAGATTTTCTTTATAGCAATTTATGCTTCAATATCAACTATTTTGTACAAGACTAGCAAATTGTAAGTTTGATAATGATGAAATACTTGGTTGAGGTGAAGATTAACTTTTGTTCTCTGCAGTTGTTTTTTACAGCCAATCAGTCGGTCTCCGTTAATGATGCAGTGTTTTGGGAGAAAAGCTATCTGTTAACGAAGGTGCCCAGCCCAAAATCAAATGTAGCTTCACTAGATGACAAGAAAGAAACGAGTGGAAATGACTCCAACTCGTCTTTAGCTTCTGACAAAGACAAAGAGCAGAATACACGCGTGTTATGTCCATTATTCATAAAAGACATCTGTAAGTCTATTGTTTCTGCTGGAAAGTCGCTCCAGCTGATGCAGCATATTCCTTCCACGTCTTCAGAAAATTCTGGAAAGATTCCATTCCATGGGCGAAATGGTTCTGGGAATTCTGGTTGTGGTACACTCCGGGCTAAAAAGAGCACTGCAGATTTATCCTTGTCTGAAGTCTTTTGTCTAACACTCGCTGGCCTTATAGGCCATGGTGATCATGTCTCTAGATATCTGTGGAAAGATGAGGCAGATGAGTGGGAAATTTCTTCAACTTTAGCATCATATATAAGTGGCGAGCTGGTAAATGAAATGGGTGATAAAGATCTTCCAGTTCTCGCATGCTCCGAGCGAATGTGGTATAAGTTGTTGGTTGGTGCTGTGCAAGAGAAAAGATCTATGGAGGCCAAATCAGAACACCAGAGTGCGTACAATGTTACTGGTGTTAAGGATGAAAAAAATGGCCTCGCTGCAGGAAAAGCATTGCAGGGGTTATTCTGTCATGAAAATCTTGTTGTTTCAGTATCTAAAATGGATCTTGAGAGAACCAAAAATGCTTGGGAAGCCTTGAACTTATCTCAAAATTATTGTCTTCCCTCCCTGAATGACGAGAGTTTGTTGAGTGCTGTTTTTGAGGGATCTGGCTTGACAGATGCTGGATTGAGCGGGACAAACTACAAATTTGGATTCCAATTTGGTAGATCTGAATATCTTTCTTCTCAGGATGACACCAAAATTCTGGAATCGTTATTTCCCTTTCCCACTTTGCTTCCCTCATTCCAGGTACTGTTATACTGATGATATGATCATTTTATGTCCATTCCTTCGCTTTTCTCCCCATGTGCAATAGTTTCTGGTAGCTTATTTTGAAATATTTTGTGATCAAAAACGAAAAAAGCCGAAGCTCCATATGTCAGAATTTCTACCTTGCCAAAAGAATAGTACACTTCCTTCAAGAGTTCTCAGCTGGATGCTAAAGACAGAACCAAGTTATACTCCACTTCCTGTTGTAATAATGCAGGAATGCTTCACAATCTACATCAGGAGGCAGGTAAAGTGATGTAAGCTTCGGCATTGCCGCTTGTTCCTATGGCATGATGGTTTTGTTACCTTCTGAAAGTTGTGTGTTGTAGGTGGACTACATTGGCAAAGTGATTTTGACAAAATTAATGAATGACTGGAAATTACTGCATGAACTTGCGGTGTTGCGTGCTATTTACTTATTAGGGTCTGGTACGTTTTATATGCTTCAACTTATTTGGAAATAGGGTCGTATCTGGGCTCTAAATAACTCCTCCAAATGTTTCAGGGGACCTTCTGCAGCATTTTCTGACTGTCATATTCGATAGGCTGGGCAAGGGAGAGGCATCAAATGATGATTTTGAGTTGAACATAATCCTTCAGGTAACCAGATTTGGTGAACTTTTTAGATATTCTGCTCTCATTTTTGTAGTTATTATCACTTCTAAAAGATTCTGTCTGTTAATTTTTTGCTTATGTATCTCTGTTCTTTCCCCGTTCATCTACAAACCAACTGAATTCCAAACTGTAATGGTTGTCTACAGGAATCAATTAGAAATTCAGCTGATGCCATGCTGTTAAGCAGTCCTGATTCATTGGTGGTTTCTATATCCGGAGAAGGTTGTTTAGACAGAGACAAAGATAATAAGGGTGACGTAATACCCGTCTCTTCGACTCGAAAAAGCCGCATTAACAACTTCGGGATAGATTGCCTCGATTCTCTCAAATTCACATACAAGGTCTAGAGAAACATTTTTTTTTTCCTTCCATCCAGTTACAGCGTATTGGCTACATCTAAGTGAATTTAAAGATCTAAATTATTTTATTTCTAAGGTGCCATGGCCGCTTGAGCTTATTGCCAATAGTGAGGCCATTAAGAAGTATAATCAGGTAAGCCTTTGTCATCCAGCTATTTTTGGGGGAAACAGTTTGTTGTTCTATGTGTTAATTATTTAAAATGAAAACAGGTGATGGGATTTTTGTTGAAGGTCAAGCGAGCAAAATATGTGCTTGATAAAGCACGAAGGTGGATGTGGAAGGTCATTGATATCTCTCGAACTCATTTCTTTCTTTCTAGACTGTTTCTTGTGACATCCAAAACCAATTTGAAAGGTCCTAATAAGTCCTTTGATCAGTAGGATAGCTGTAAAGAGGAATCATAACAATGTGGTTTAGTTTGATAAATTTAGTGACTTTGGTGTTTGTGTATTATAGGGTAAAGGCTCTGCAACAAAAATCCGCAAGCACCACTGGTTACTGGAACAAAAGCTCCTCAATTTTGTGGATGCTTTTCATCAATACGTAATGGACAGGGTAAATTGTCTGATACTGAATAATTAGTTATCATGACCGTACTGTTCTTCGTTGGAGTAATACAAGGATGTCAGTGTTATTGCAAAATTGAAAGCTGATGTTATTGGCTTGTGGAAAATGAAAAGCTTATCAGGCTTAACTGGATTCTGTAAACAGGTTTATCACACCGCATGGCGTGAACTGTGTGAAGCTATGGTAAAAGCAGGGTCTCTAGACGAGGTCATATATGTGCATGAGACCTACTTGTTATCGATTCAGAGGCAGTGCTTTGTGGTTCAAGAAAAGCTGGTAATGGACCATTAACTGACCTCTTATCTACATAACAAATATATTTGTAGCTATAAAGCCAAGCGTTTGATGGTTTATGTATAGTGGGCAATCATCGCAAGTCGGATCAACATGATTCTCGGTTTAGCTCTAGAATTCTACACAATACAACAGACGCTGAGCAGCGGTGGAGCAGTTTCAGCCATCAAAGCTAGATGCGAAATGGAAATAGACCGCATTGAGAAACAATTTGAAGACTGCATTGCTTTCCTCCTCAGAGTAAGTCCATTGATCTAATACTCTGTATACTTGTTCTTGTGATTCGAACCCTTAATTAATAAGTGGTGGTTATGGAAAATTGAACTTGCAGGTACTGTCTTCGAAGCTGAACGTGGGACACTTCCCTCATTTGGCGGATTTAGTGACCAGAATCAATTACAATTATCACTACATGTCTGACACTGGAAGCTTGATGACTGTTTCCGGAGCAGAGACTAACTCTTCCAGACCCTGGACTACCAAATCTGATGCCCATTGAAAAGACTGGATCGTCTCTACCATCACGAGCCATTCTTCAGAGTCTCAGGCTTTTCTTGGGCTCTTTCATAGTGTTGATGATGCTGGTCTCTACTTTCCGGACTGATGTATACGTCACTGTTTTTAATGAGATGTTGTAAGATGTGTGAGTTTATGTAAATGCAAATTAGCTCTAAACATTTCCGATTTGTAAATGTTCAAGTACTTCTCATGTTTGAAGATTAGAAAACATTTAAACATTACATAACATGATAATACAATTAGTACGAGCAAAGTGTTACTTTTACTTATAACGAAAGCCCAATTGGCCTTATCCGAGGACAAAATGGTCAAAACAAAAAAAAGACGTAAAACCCTAAACATTATTTTACACTTGCTCATTTCATAAACCCCTCAACACTTTCTGCTCACATTTCTTCGTCGACTCTCTCAATTTACACGACCGTAATCTTCTACCTTGCTCTGTTTTCCTTTCTTAAATTCGATATATTCGCTTTCTGGGTCTCATCTTTCGAGTGAAAGGCGTAACCTTTCTTTCGAATCTGATCTATTTCTTCTTCCTGTTGCTTGCAAAAAAATCTGATTTTTATTTTTTTTGTCTAATCTGATTTGTGTCGTGTGTGTTTGTGTTTTTTTTCTTACAAAGAGCAGGTAATTTGCAGTGATCTATCAAACGGACCAACCATGTTTGCTCTTTCCAAGGTTTTGCGGAGGTAAGGATCTCTGATTTTGTCTTCTATGCAGGAAAATAGATTGAATTTAGTTAAAGCTTTCGATTGTCAATCTAAAAATGGTTCCTTTTTTTCTGTGTGAATAATATTTGGCACTTTCTGCAGATTAAGAAACTTGTCTCCTTTTTTGTTTGTTTGTAAATTTTCCAGAACACAGAGACTCCGATTTGGAGCTTGTGCTGCTGTTTATTCAAAGGAGATACACTTGGGAGAAAGAAGCTTCTTCACTCTTGAATCTCCTTCGATTGTTTATGATAAATGTGAATCTGTTCCAAGATTCTACGAAATCTCTTCTATGAGTAAACGTGCGCTTTCTTCAAATGCTGGCACTAAAAGTGATGAAGATGAAGATGACCTCGAAGACGGGTTCTCAGAACTAGAAAGTTCAAAGTCAAGCCAAGAGACTAGTAGTAGTAGTGATGATAGTGAGGATGATGAGGTAACGCCTAAGGGAAAGCTCTCTGCTGATGAAGATGATGCCGACGAAGAAGAAGAACTGGAACTCGACCTTATCGAAACCGAGGATGGTGGGAAAACAGTAGAAAAGAAACCATCCGAGCTATTTACCACCATTGTTTCCGCACCAGGTCTGTCTGTAGGTAGTGCACTTGATAAATGGATGGAAGAAGGAAATGAGATCAACAGAATTGAGGTTTCTAAGGCGATGCTCCAGCTGCGTAAACGTCGGATGTATGGAAGAGCATTACAGGTAAATTCTCCTTCAATAGCTTACTTGTTAGTACCTTAACTTATATTTGTTATTGCTTGCATTCATTTCTGTTCTGTTTGTATAGATGTCAGAATGGTTGGAGGCAAATAAGATATATGAAATGAATGAGAGAGACTATGCTTCTCGCTTAGATCTGCTAGTTAAAACACGAGGCTTAGAGAAGGGAGAAGCTTATATGGATAAGATCCCGAAATCTTTCAAAGGGGAAGTGATTTACCGTACTCTACTGGCGAATTGTGTGGCTGCTTGCAATGCGAAGAGGGCTGAAGTAGTGTTCAACAGAATGAAAGACTTGGGATTCCCTCTCTCTGGATTTACGTGCGATCAGATGCTTCTGCTCTACAAGAGGGTTGACAGGAAGAAAATCGCTGATGTGCTATTGCTCATGGAGAAAGAAGATGTCAAGCCGAGTCTTCTCACATACAAGATCTTGATTGACATCAAAGGGGCATCAAATGACATAAATGGGATGGAGCAAATTGTGGAGACAATGAAAGATGAAGGTGTTGAACCGGACTTCCAAACACAAGCTATCACCGCTAGACACTATTCAGGAGCTGGGCTTAAAGAGAAAGCCGAGAAAGTGTTGAAAGAGATGGAAGGTAGAAGCTTAGAGGCAAACCGCCGGGCGTTCAAAGATTTACTCTCCGTCTATGCCTCTCTTGGTAGAGAAGATGAAGTGATGAGATTATGGAAGATCTGTGAATCAAAGCCCCGGTTTGATGAATCCCTTGCTGCAATCCACGCTTTTGGAAAGCTCAATAAAGTAAAAGAAGCAGAGGAGATTTTTGAGAAGATGGTGAAGATGGACAGAAGAGCTTCTTCTAATCCTTACTCTGTTCTCTTGAGGGTTTACGTTGACCACAAGTTGCTCGAAAAGGGTAAAGATCTGGTTAAACGAATGGCAGAGAGCGGTTGCAGGATCGAGGCAATGACATGGGATGCACTCATCAAGCTCTACGTGGAAGCTGGGGAAGTTGAAAAGGCTGATTCTTTGCTGAAAAAGGCATCAAAACAGAGCCATACAAAACTGATGATGAGCTCTTTCATGTACATCATGGACGAGTACTCAAAACGAGGAGATGTTCATAACACCGAGAAGATATTCGAAAAAATGAGAGAAGTTGGGTATACATCTCGGCTAAGGCAGTTCCAATCCCTCATACAGGCTTACATAAACGCCAAATCCCCTGTGTATGGAATGCGAGATAGAATGAAGGCAGATAATATCTTTCCAAACAAATCCATGGCTGCACAGTTGGCTCAAGCTGATCCATTCAAGAAGACAGCTATCTCTGATATTCTGGATTGAGTAGACTCTTTCCTACACCTTTCTTCTTTCTGCTTGCAGGCAGTATTCTCATTTGTCTTCCTGACGTTTAGTTTGAGAGTATGCTTAGTTACTACATTTTATCATGTTTTTTTTTTGTTACTGTCGTGATCTATCCACTTCAGAGACCTTCAAGCTTCATGACCTTTAGATAGTTAATTAGTTACTTCTATACTGGCTTGTTTGGTTTGTTTTTGAGTTTTGACATTGAAGCTAGGCGTATTCTATACCGAAAAATTATACAAAGATTCATAGCTCATCCCACTCATCTTTCAAGTGGCAAATAAATAGAAGATTCCAAACCATTAAAAAACGCAGATGAGAAAAATAGAGAAGGTTACAATTAACTCTGGTTATGATGAATACACAACTGCTAAGACCTCTCAAAATCACCCCAACTTCTTTCCTTTTGGGGAAGAC